AGAAACTGAACCCACAGCAATAGCTACCTTCACGTGGTAGATACGCAACCCAACAAAACAGAAAGTTCATGGTGATGAGTATTCTGTCGAAACCGTCAGGCGTGTGTCGCGATTTCGATCTCATTGGATCTCGTCAGCACGCCGCAAACAGCTCCAATAAAATACAGGCCAACTTTACCTGCTGTCTTTTAATAGTTTATTTATGAAATGTAAAGCAAGAAAAATATGGATTTATCTACTAACAACAGAAAGGATTACTACAGGAGCTTATTACATGTTATTCGGAGTATCTACTAAGAGCACATGAAGCAAAAATTAAAATTTTTCAATTACTTATGATGGAAATATGTGGCACATGTCTTCTGAAGCGGCTTTAGTTTTATTAGTTATTTATTATTTAATATTTAACAATACGTTATATTGATCAACGACTGTCTAGAAGCATTCGGGAAGACATCGCACTCGTTAGATTCGGATCTACCTACCATAATCTAAGTTTTCTTGTGGCACCATTAGGCAGATGCTCAGGCTCGTCTCATTTTTCTCTCCCCATCGACCATCATCCACTCATTCCTACAGTTCCTTCCGTTCTATCCACCGACTTTGCACTAAGTCGGAGGGACTGAACGCCCACCAGCACTCGTTGCTTTTGAGAGTGAAACATCAAAATTGTGTCGAAACTATCAAACATAAATATGGGCGTAGATGAATGAATTAGTCATAAAATATAAGTGTAAAATGAACGAAGAACTACACTTTACGTAGGTAGTCTTTTCTTGGTATAATAAAATCCATTCATTAGAATCGAGGAGTTTTTCTTGAGATTTTAGAGACCCCTGATAATTCTACAGGGCTCCTTTCTACAGGTTAATTTGTGACCGAATCGATACGAAGAGATTTATGCTCTGGTAAAAGTAGCACAATGATTGGTTTCTTAAAAATATGCAAAGGTTATATGTAAATAATGATAATGTTGATTTGGGTTTCTCTGTAGTCGTGTTAGTGAGTATTATGAAAATTTCAAATGCCATCTCCTGAAACAGCAAACAGTAAAAACCACATGAAAAAAAAACGGGGTCTGTAGGAATTTTTGCCGAAACCACTGACACAATTCAACTCGCGATTGGAAATCTGTTTCTTGTAAGGCTTGCGCTCGCTGCAAATGATAAGGATGCACTAACTGTACCTTTAAAATCTCGCGGTATTTCTCGTGCGCTACTTTGAGGGTTGTCTCTTGTCTTGTATGAAATCAAGGCGATATAATTCGGGCGTCGACATTCACGACCTTCGCATGTAGGATGTATATTACCGGTATCTGTGACTGAAGCACGATTGGACGTTAATTACTATAAAACAATCAACATCTTCATTGTAAGAACTTGACGATTTGAAATTGCTGCTCGTTGTTTTGTAATGCATTTCTGTGTAGACGGTTTTTCAATAACTACCGATCCGCATGTTCGAAACGTTTTTCTGTTTACTAGAAACTACATTCTCTACGAAATGCGATAGAACTTGGCGATAAAACTGCATGAAGTCATGAGTAGTTGTACATTTAGAGTCCTTCTAATAAGGTAACATCTCCATCTTGGGGAAGACAAACGTAGTCGGCAGGTCAGGCAAATGCGAAGAGTAGACAGACCATAATATAAACGGACGCATAAAACACAACAAACAACACGTTCCATTCCTTCTTTTCCTTCGCATTTCGTGACCTTTCTGGGACCGACAAAGTAACAACAATCTGCCTTTATTTGTCATAGTTGGGGATAATGGGCGAGAGTAGACTCCATATTAAAGCTTCACAAACAAACGAATCATAAAATACGCTGGATCATTTATCAACAATCAGTGGCGGTTCGTACTTAATTGAATCAAAGTGTTACAAAAGATTTTGCTGACATTCAATTATATTTTCTTTAAATCAATTATTTTTGAATGATTTAAAAATTTGCTAAACTGCAATTAGAAAACAAACGCCCATATTAGCATAACTTTGTTAAATCATGAGCAGTGATAGAAACAGTCCTTATCAATATAGACGTGTACACAAATCAATTTTAACTAGGGAATAATTCATACAGTTGATGCATTATTACCATCTCAGATTTGCAGTTGTCTACTAATTATACTATTCACCCTGCTATGCTGCATTAATTATGTACTACAATGATTTTATCAGCGAACTCAGATCTAGTCTTTGTTTGCTGATGTTACCTACTTGGTGCATAGTAGTCTGGTAGATGTCTGCATAATAAAAAAAAAATAAATATTATACAGAGTGTAACATAAATAAGTGCCGATCTTGCAGGTGGTGATAGAGCTTATAAAAACATGAAAATTAAGTAAATGTTTGTACGTTCGAATGTTCACCGTTTTCGAGGAAAACGTAGTTGAAAGTACAGGTAAAGTCAATTCCTGCCCTGGTTGATAAATGCGGTTCGCAACGCTACATTCAATAACTGCTGATTACTAGCATAAGTGTAATACCATTTGTTTAGTATTCTTTTTGCTCATGTATTGTTTATTTGTTAGGTTAAATTATGTGTGTCAGGGTGTTTTTGTTAACAACCAACCTGTAGTAGCCGTTCATACTTTTACTGTTTAACCCTTATGCAGTTCAATAATCTAATTCAGCAAAACAACATTAATTATTAGTGTAGGTCAGTCACTGTAGAACAGCTGTTGTTATACTATAAAAAAATACAAAAAGAAATAAGATTTCAACGAAGTCAACCCCCCAAATAGTACATACGCAATAGCAGATAACGTTGGCTCCTCTCAGTGTGGCAATTTTTAAACAAACAGTTGCTGCATCCTTATCATTTGCAGCGAGTGCAAGCCTTGCAAGAAAAGTACTACAACTCCTCGTAGCTTAGTAGTAAAGTACCGGTGCGTAAAACCAGGGGCCCGAGTTCGATTCCCTGCAAGGATGTGACACAGCAGCAACAATTTTTCCTCATTAATTTAAGATTATCTGTAGAGAGTAAAGTTAATTCAAAAATAAATTCATTATTGCTTAGACAAGGTAATAATCAGCGAACGTTTTACCATTTACTTTATTGTATGAGACACTAATGATGTAATACCGTTTATGAAAAATACAAGAATTAACGTAATTTGAATTCACAAATAGTCATCCTTACAGACCTATAGAGATACATATGTATACATTGGATACTAAGTAATATATTTGAATGGAATCTAAGAATTTCACTATCAGTTCAATAGCAAACAAGAGTGAGATTGGTGAAAAATACGTTAAAAACTATGATTTGGATTTTTCTGATTCTGTACGATCATATAACAATATAATAGTTTAAATTAAAGTTAAATACAATACAATTGCTTTTCTCATCAACACAAAACACTTGGTAGTTTTGCGCACCAAACCGGTAATCTCTTAGTAGTTTGTAAAAATTATGCAAATCTGGTTCGAATGCCAAGAAATTGGTATATCTAAGTACTGTGGGGCAGCCCTGATTCTATCTAATACCAAAAAAAAAAAAATACAACGTGTACAACACTCTACTGAAGAGAAACTTCTTCAAACATACCGGGATAGGGGTTAAGGAATTGACTTCAGTGGCGTCGTTTGGTCTATAGAGTGTAGGCACACATACACAAACACATACAAATACATTCATACATTTTTTTAGGGCTACACTATACATGCCGGAGTTGCCTATAACGAACGTTGCATTGAAGCGCGCTCNTCCAAAACTGCATTTTGAATAGCTGCAGTGCAGACTATAATAAGGAAGAGCATGGAAAGTAGGAATGTCTGAAAAATGTTTTTCATTTCGACGTAAATCTTGGAAAGATGTATAGAAATCCTTTTATCAATCGATTGCTGTTGTAAGGATCGACCCAATACTTCCGATTCTTTGTATTCTTCTTCTTTTTTTTTTATTTATCAGAAGCAGTAATAAAGTAATTTCCTCTTCGTCTTTCTTCTGCGACTTCTTTTTAATAACTGTTTCTGTATGTTTGAAATAGATACGTTACATCTGCTACAATATCGACGCGCTGTAAAAAATCGCTCTTTATACTGTAATGTTCGTGGGTTTAATAAAATTTACTTCTAAGACTGATAACAAAAACTATTTCTTTACACTAATTATTATTAATATGTCACTATTCACTGCGCTATTTATTTCACTGCTATCACTGTCAATTTATTTCTCGATTCACTTCTGCAACGGTCAATTTATTTCTACTCCTTCTCGGCGATCGTCCCTTCCTTTAAATACTCTTTTGTTTACTTTCGGGAACCTTCTNAGAGCCTACGAATACAATTGAGGATAATAATGAGCTTTGTGTTCAGGGGCGGCCTTAACGACTGCGAGGCTCCGGGCGGGTAGATCTTTTCGAGGTCCTTTGTCCTTGTAGAATTAGTTTTAATGATGATACTTGACGAGAAATACAAAGTTATAAATAAATAAATTTAGATTTTCAAAATTGTTTATTTGAAATTAACAAGATCTAATAAACACAAAGATTATTATTTAAATCAGGGATTCAGAAATGATGCTTGCAGCTTCCTTAAGTCTTAGAAATTCAAATAAATATTAGTACTATTAGTAGCATTAGTACCTAAAATTTTCTAATTGGAAAATTACGCGAGAACGCGAGGCCCCATCTATCCGGACGTATCTGACTTCCTAGATATCTAAAATCAGTCACTTCTTCTAATTTTTTCGTCTCCTATCTTTGGAAATAATTAAATAAATGTGGTTAACCAAAGAATTTGGCAAATGGAAACTAAACCCTCACCGCTGGACGTAAATCCAGATTCAAAATATAGCATTACAGTATTAGGTTTTAGGAACACAAAATAACTAGCAACAAAAACTAATGTCATGTTTTATCCTTCGATACAGGACAAATTTGATATGCAACATCTTATTAAAAGTATACAACTTTAAATCACAATGTCCACAAATAGGTACATTTTACAGAAATATCTTCTTTTATCAAACATTTTTTGTTTGTTTCAGGGTATTTGTCCCGGTAATAGGCTACGTCTTATAGCAGGTGTTTATGAAGATACGGGACAAAGCAGAGGTGCGTCACCGTTGCCCCAGTTTCCGGAAGTGATTGGAGAACTGAACACTTTACAACGACAGGGAAAACGTCGAAGCTGGCATGTTCAACCTAACAAGGTAAATATTATTCAAGAACAAACAGAATCGATTATCGTTTTTTGTTTTCGACGGAAAACGTGTCGCACAAAAAAGAAAAATTTCATCAGTAATATTCGATAATAACAGAAAGGAATATTAATAGACAGAAAAATTATGTATCAGAGGTGTTTCAGTATTTTGGCCTTGTATTGGGCAGTAACAAAACTACGCCCTTTCATTGATTTCTAAAAACATTGGCCGTCACTGTCTACAATTTGTTTGGAGATCCCACTTCTGGTTATATGTATGTATGTATAACGTGACCATGCGTCCTGTTTTGAACGAGACCATCCCTTTTTCCGATTATAGGTCCCGTTGTCCCCAAAAAATGCTCCAGGATGCACAATTGTCCGCTTTTCCGAAACCGCGCGAAAATTATGGGCTTGCCGAACGCGTCAGTCAATTTAGCTCAGAAACAGAGCAATCAGTTTCTTCCATTTACGGTTCGTAGTGTAGTGGTGAAATTGAAAGACAATGGCGATGATATTAATGAAAATTTGTGTTAAGTACGGCTACAGAATTTTATAAAACAAGCCGCGAATGTTCGACAACAATGGACTTACTCTCTTACCGAAGAAAGGGAGATATTTCGTTGGGCACATTGAAAAAAAGTATCCGCATGGGATGACGTTCAAAAAGCTCTGGATGATGTGATTAAAAAAGGATATTATTGTTTGTAATAAAGATTCAGAAGTATTTGACGAATTTTCATTAATTTCTAACTACATCACATGTCAAAAAATAACCGAGTGGAATAATCTAAATGTTTCCACAGAAACTCGTTGGATGGAAGTATTCGAACATTTTCACGGCAACGAACTTCCAGAAGAAAACTTTTGTATTTTAATTTAATATGGTTTTTGTTTGCCTGCTACAAATGCCTCAGTAAAAAGAGTATTTTATTTAATAAACAAATTCTGGACTTCTGGAAAAACCCAGTTAGAGATCGATTTCAGTTATGAAGGCGATGTTGATTACTAAGGTGATTATAAAAAACGTGCCAAGAATTTGATTTTTATTTAAAAGCATCACCACGTGTATTAAAACAAACTTGCTCCTCTGACAAACATAAATATTATGTTGCATAATATTTTCAATTTACAGTAAAATCTCACTTTTTCTAGATAAATAATATTAAAAAATGTATTTCTCGTTTTTCATTAATAACCTGCTAATTGACGTAAATAAACCGATGTCCCGTTTTGAGTAAAAAACTGAATGGTTTCGTTATGTATGTACCTATAACAAGACATATGTGGTTAACAGTCGAGTCATGCATCATGAGATATTGAAATGCTGACCTCTAAAATCAAATTACTTTTGTCGAAGGGAATTCTTTTGTTAACTCTTTAACTGGGATTAATGTAGGAGAATTAAGTTTTACTTTACAAACTGCAACTTAAACGAAAAGAAATCCTCATCCTCATTGCGAATTCTAAAAGAAAGTGATCCAAAATTGGAAGATGAATATTTGATAGGTTGCAAAAAAATGTATGAAATTTCAAATAACAGCGTCGAGAGAAAAGTTAAATTCATAAAAAAAACCTACAGGTAAAAAAAGTGTACGGATAAAAAGACGAACAAAACAAGTCGTGGGGTGTGTCACATCACTGATGCGATCCTGAGAGCCTTTTCACACGGGCTACTTTTTGTAGTACTTCTGAAGCGCTACAGTTGCGTAATTTTTTGAAATTTTTGTTTTAAATTGATGCTTTCATACGAAAACAGCGCTTCAAAGCCGTAGCGCTACATTGAAGCTACGTAGAACTCTAGCGGTATTTCCTTGAATCGCACGACTAAATAGTCGTGCAATTGTTATGCTTCACTAAAAAAATACATTTACCTAAGTTAACGCTTCCACACTACGTATTTAAGTGGTTTGACAGACCGATGGTGGACAATATCGACGTAGAAAATTTCATAATTTCCAAAACTGCATTTTGAATAGCTGCAGTGCAGACTATAATAAGGAAGAGCATGGAAAGTAGGAATGTCTGAAAAATGTTTTTCATTTCGACGTAAATCTTGGAAAGATGTATAGAAATCCTTTTATCAATCGATTGCTGTTGTAAGGATCGACCCAATACGATTCTTTGTATTCTTCTTCTTTTTTTTTTATTTATCAGAAGCAGTAATAAAGTAATTTCCTCTTCGTCTTTCTTCTGCGACTTCTTTTTAATAACTGTTTCTGTATGTTTGAAATAGATACGTTACATCTGCTACAATATCGACGCGCTGTAAAAAATCGCTCTTTATACTGTAATGTTCGTGGGTTTAATAAAATTTACTTCTAAGACTGATAACAAAAACTATTTCTTTACACTAATTATTATTAATATGTCACTATTCACTGCGCTATTTATTTCACTGCTATCACTGTCAATTTATTTCTGGATTCACTTCTGCAACGGTCAATTTATTTCTACTACTCTCGGCGATCGTCCCTTCCTTTAAATACTCTTTTGTTTACTTTCGGGAACCTTCTCGAAACGTCCGGATAGTTTCTTTTTTCTTTTAACTGTTTAACTGATTTCCCAGAACGTAGGTACGACACACACAATTACAAATACTGCGCACATGAAGAAAGGCGCCCGCGGCTAGTCGGCGAATTGATAATCCGTTCACACACACGTGTGGCCGATCGCACACAAACACTCGTGCTCGCTACAATACATACGAACCAGCAACTGTCGCTCTACTGTAGCGCAACGGAAGCGCTAGAAAATGTAGCTCGTGTGAAAAGGCTCTTACGGTAAACACGAATAACTGTCCAGTACAGGAGGCAATTGATTTAAATCACCAACCACTAGTACACATATGCAGTATGTAGTACTCGATAAAAATATCTGATTTATTTCAAAGTATCAAGTTATATCAGCAGGGGCGGCCTTTGGGGGTGGCGAGCTGTGCAACCGCCCGGAGCCTCACTCTTACAGGGGCCTCGCGTTCTCGCGTAATTTTCCAATTACAAAATTTTAGGTACTAATGCCACTAATAGTACTAATATTTATTTCAATTTCTAAGACCTAAGGAAGCTGCAAACATAATTTCTGAATCCCTGATTTAAATAATAATCTCTGTGTTTATTAGTTCTTATTAATTTCAAATAAACAATTTTGAAATTAATGAAATAATTCGAAGTGGTCTGTATTCTGTCGAAACTGCCAGACGCGGATCGCGATTTTAATTTTTTTGGATGTCATCGGCGCGTCGTAGGCATCTCCGACAAAACACAGACCAACTTTTACCTGCTGTCTTAACAGTGCGTTTTAGAAAATACTACGAATGGCGCAGTGAACGCCATCTGTAGCACGATGTTAGATTTTAGGATTACGTATGCTCCAACAAGGTATACTTGTGTGAATATCTACTTGCTGAAAACGAATCCCTGCGTAGCCAACCTCAACGTGATAGGCACGTTAGCTTAATTGAATGAAATAATTCGAAGTGGTCTGTATTCTGTCGAAACTGCCAGACGCGGATCGCGATTTCGATCTTTTTGGATCTCATCAGCGCTTCGTAGGCATCTGCGACAGAACCCAGACCAACTTTTACCTACTGTCTTAACAGTGCGTTTTAGAAAATACTACAAATGGCGCAGTGAACGCCATCTGTAGCACGATGCTACATTTTAGGATTACGTATGCTCCAACAAATTGAAATTCTAAATTTATTTATTTATAACTTTGTATTTCTCGTCAAGTATCATCATTAAAATTAATTCTACAAGGACAAGGGCCTCGAAAAGATCTACCCGCCCGGAGCCTTGCAGTGGTTAAGGCCGCTCCTGTATATCAGAACCAGTTAATCAAATATGTTGAGTGTCAACGTTCTGTACCTATTGTTTCGTTATAGCTTTTAGTTGAAATTTTGTAATTGGGGTTCGTAGCTATTTAAAATAAGTTACTTTTACTTTAAATGAGGTTTATGACTATCTTATTTTGCTTACTTTGCAAACAATTAGTTTATTAGAGGTATCTTTTCTGTTGTGTATTGTAATATTGACTATTAATGGTAGGTGTGTCATTAGGGGTTTATTCCAACATCGTAATATTTCGATTACTTTGTATTTCTTATCTTTCTTTTGCAATCATGAAATCTATTATTATTTTTGTTGGTGTGCAATAGTCGATACAATTGATCACCTTCGAATCATTGACATCTGGTACCAACAATTGTTGCACGCTGGACACTCGCACGTACACCCATCTCTCCCTTTCTCTTCTTATCGAACCGCACCCCTTATACCCCACTTTCTTATCTTGGACCAACCACCCTGTTTCTTCTATTCCTAATCCAATTAATGTTTCTAAACCTTACTAACTCCACCTATAAGTAGCTTTTCCATTTACGCATTCCGAAGATAATGTAATTTTTTGCTTGCGGTGTGATTTTGAAACTGTTGAAAGGTAATCTTTGCGCCGCAAACCTCACTGCTATAGCTGCTGTAACGTTGCCTCCATTTATGGGCTTAAACAATCGG